TAGACCAAGTCATAGACTTTAAGAGTGTTACATTATCCCCCCACCCACCCCACCGCACCAACCCTTAGGAACATTCGTCCTTGAATGACTCTAAAATCTTTTTTTGGAGAGAGGATGAATTAAGAACAGTGGCCCAACAAACAACTACATACACAACATAAAACCATTATGAGTCACCGCCCATATGAGTAACTTAAAACTCAAATCAACACATAACCATGACATTTCACATCGCAACTCAAAACTTAACTTACCATATATAAGAGCTCAATTTAACAATATGAGGAACTACTTTATCATTGTAAACATGAAATCAATAATAACGTCAAGATTCACATATGCAAAAACTACCTTCAAGGCAGAGTAAACATGCTCAATACTATTTCATGAAAAAAAAGCAATACACAAAACCACAAATAAGTGCAAGTTAAGGAAATGAGCATATTTACATGTTAACTCATCGTAGCATTAACCTTTATCATAATCATGCACATATTAGTAAATAAAGCCAAATCAACATTATTAATTAGTTCATTTTAAGAAGATTACTACCTCAACTTTGGCTAGAATTTTGAGGAAAGAGATGAGGATAGCGGGACTTCATGTCGGGCGCAGCCTCCCTTGTTGCTTCCTCAACTAAGTGATTCCACCATAGGAATTTTACGAAGACCACCTCCTTGTTCCTCAAATTTTTGACTTGGAGATCTAGAAATTTCACCGCAAACCTTTCATAGGAAAGGTTCTCATCTATACTATCCTTCAATAGGGAGAATGGATTCAGGATCAACAATACACTTCTTAAGCATAGAGACATAAAATACGGGGTAAACCAAGGCCATGGAAATACTTCTATGGTAACTATTATTGTAAGAAAACTCAATCAACATTAGGTGATCGTCCCAACTTCCCTTAAAATACATAACAGAAGCTCTTATCATATCCTCTATGGTTTGAATTTTACACTCCGCTTGACCATACGTTTGAGAATGACAAGCGATGAGAAGCTTCACTTTCCTTATACTTACATAATTACTCAAGAAAAATACCCTAATTAATTATGTAACGACTTTACTAACTATTCTCTAACTTAGAAAATCAGGCAGTATAGTCGACCCTCCAACCCACGATTCCCCGTCTACGTCCCGTAGATCAGTCGACAAGCATGTACTACACCGGCGGCATTTGCGAAAGAGAGTGGATTTTTGGACCACCTTTGAAAAGTGTTTACGGCTGGACCTACGACTCCATCAACGGACCAAATTGTCATTTTTTTGTTAAATGCAATAGTCCTCTCCAACGACCCTTAGGGTAGTCCTTGGGGGGTCGTACCCGGACGTTTTGATCCTAAACACACTTTATTTCATATTTAATACCACTTTACCAAATTTCACTAAGTTATGATTCTTAAAACCCCATGAAACATGCCAAGGAACACTTGCACATATTTCACAATCCTCCAGAAATCATGGTCGTTTTTTAACTTTAACACTTCCCACTTAGTTTAAATACATTATTTTAGGCTTATTAATAATGTTTTGAGTCTTAGTTTATATAGTCTAGCTAGACAATGTCATAAGCTTTCGGCGTGTTACATTATCCCCTCCCCCCTTAGGAAGATTCGTCCTCGAATTACACTAAAATCTTTTTTGTGGAGAAAGGATGAATCAAAACTAGTAGCCCAACCAACAACAATATAAAAAACATAAAACCATTATGAGTTACATCCCATATGGGTAAATTACAACTGATATCAACACATAACCATGACATTTCACTTCGCAACTCAAAACTCAAGTTACCACATATAGGATCTCAATTTAACAACATGAGGGACTACCTTCTCATTGGCAACCTGAACTCATTTATAACATCAAGAGTTACATCTATCAGACGTGGTGTATGCGCATCGACTGGGCAACATTGGTCGTGGCTTGCATGAGAAGAGACGTCGGCCAATGACATTCTGCATCAACCAAGGTCATAAGACATTTGACGTTGTTTTTGCACATTTGGATAGAAATATCGGACAACGACATGCATCATCACCCAAGGATATGCATTCATAATCCATGACATGTATGGATCTGTCACATCTGCGGAGCACCCCTTAGAATTTAAATGGTGTACTTGACCTCTCGGAGGTCTTATACGATCCCATAGGTATCATTCATCGCATTGTCATAGGTAAATCTAGCGGAAAATTTAAAACTTTCTTAGCACATCATATGCTAGACCATTAATTCATACATATATATACATACATATATATATATATATATATATATATATTTATTATATCATCATACATATTTAAAGACTTTAGTCTATTTTTCCATCCTAGACTCAATAATAGTTATGAAATAGTCATTTGTGGAGGAACATGTACTATCTACAATAAGACTACTGTTACTTCGCCATATTGTTTGTGAGTATTTACGCATTCATTCATGTAAATATACATCTAGAACTTGTCATATATGTCAAATATTAAACGTGGTGTTGAAATTAGGCAAAAGTATTCATTACCCCCCTGGACTTGAAGCTTTTTATACAATGTACACCTAAACTCTTTTTTTGTTTTAATTACCCCCTGAACTTTCTTATTCATCCTACACGTACACCTTTTCTGTCCACTCAATATGATCGTGTCTACACGCGCACGACACGTAGATAAATAATTTACCACCTAGATAAATAATTTGCCACCTAGATAATTATTATGTTATCTAGATAATGCTGACCTTCAAATGTAAACTTCTGAAAGAAGCTTCTCGATTTTCTCTGAACCTCTCTTTGATCTTCCCTAAACCTATCTTTAATCTTCCCTAAACCTCTCTTTGATCTTCCCTAAACCTCTGACGAAAGTGTAATCGACAAAGTAACGAGTAGATTTATGCCATTAGAGAGTTCGTGAAGTGTTTGGTCGATTTTCTCTAAACCTATCTTTGATTTTCCCTAAATCTCTCTTTGATTTTCTCTAAAACTCTTACGAAAGTGTAATCGACAAATTAACGAGTAGATTTGGCAAGTGTATTCGACAAAGTAATGGTAGATTTGTGCCAGTTGCAGTTCGTGAAGTGTTTGGTCGTTTTTCTTTGGATCTTGTCTGAAATTGTGTCTACAAGTAAGTGATTATCCACTCGATTTCGCGTAGTCTTGATGTATTGTTGTCTGTTTTCTTTACTTTTTCATACATATTTTGCCTATTTTGCCTATTTCATTTAATGTTTCGCCATAGTTTCTGATTGAGTTTCTGATTAGGGGTCTAATACTTTTCAACTAGAATTTTCACTTAATGAATGTATTATTATGAAGCTTTTTACCTTATTCATGCATGAAATTTAGGATTTTTGGTAAAATTAAGGTGTTAAGTATTAGGGTTTCTTGTATTGTTAAATGGTGGGGTATTTTATAATTGGCAGCCTTTATAATTTGTTTAAGTATATTGTGTGGGATGCCTATTGTATGTTGTTGAGTAAACATCTACTGTCCTAAGTACCAATTGTTGCTTATGTTTTAGTGTTATTATATATGTTTCAATTTTGTTGCTTGCATTGTACAATATACTAATTATTATTGTGGTTATAGGTTGACACTATAACTAATAAGTACCTCAATTTAAGGTTCAAATTTGGGGGTATGTTGGTGACTGAGATAGGTCCTGTATATGTTGGGGGTAGGACTCAATATGTAGACAATGTGGATGAAGATCATTTATCAATTCCTAAATTTGCAGATTATGCTAAGTCTTTTGGGATTAGTAAGTTAGGAAAAACATATGCAGCTCCATCTCTAGGGGGTGATTTGGTGGAATTGAAAAATGACATGGACATTTGTAGCATTGCATTATTTATGCATGATGGGGACACAATAGATATTTATGTGTATGATAACACTATTCTGGATGATGTGGGTCCCAGTGAAGGTCAAATTAGTCAATCTTTAAGTCAAGTTGTTGAGTCTTTTAATTCACATGGGGAATCTCTAACTGCACAACCAAAAAAATCAGATCTAGGTTTAGGTTCCTCTTTTTCCTTTCCAGCTACTGAAAGACTTGAAAATGATGGGATTGCAAGGGTCGAACAAGAAATCCAACAAGAAAGTGATGATGATTGTTCTTCAATAGATTGGACTGATACTGAAGAAGAAGTTGAACCAACTATCCAACAAGGAACAAAACCTTCTATTCAACAAGAAATTGAGCCAATTACCCAAGAAAATGCAGAGGAAGACATAGACAGTGATTCTATCTGTTCTGACCAGTCTATTGACTATGGTAGTGATGTGCATGAGAAGTTGAGAATTGTTAAGGAAGATGTGAGAAAACTTAGAGAAAGTAGGAAGAGAAAGAAGAAGGAAAAACCAAAAGGTTTTTTATGTGAAGTTGGATTTGATGAAGGGTATGAGGATGTTGAAAAAGGGAAAAAGAATTTCAAGGGTAAGCTAACAGAGGATGAGCTATACTATGACAGTTCTGACTGTGATAGTTTTCAAAGTGATGAAGAAGAACCTGTTTCTGATGATGAACCTGAAGGAGGGAGCTTAAGGGGGAGAAAGAAGAGTAATAGGGTGGTATATGATTCTTCTTGTGATATTGTAATATGGCAGTGTGGTTTGATATTTGAAAGTGTAAAGCAATTTAGAGAGGCAGTTACAAAATATGCTATAAAAAAGGAGTTGAGTTAGATAAGTATGTGAATGAGAGTACTAGAGTGAGAGTGAAGTGTAAAAGTGGTTGTCCATGGCTGTTGTATGAAAGCAAGGAAGGAAGGAGTGGGAACTTTACTATCAAGACATACAATCCAAGGCACAAATGTACCAGGACCACCAATAATATTTTGTGTAATTAAAAGTTCTTATGCAAGTATCTGAAAGATAGGATTATTTCTCAACCTAGTATAAAAGGGTGAGAGATACAAGAATTGGTGAGGAAAGAGTTGAATGTTCATGTAAGCAAGGTAGTTTGTTTAAAAACAAGAAAAATTATTTTAAAGGAAATTATGGGAGATCATGTGGAAGAATTTAACAGAATCCTAGACTACAAGGATATGTTACTCCAAACAAATCCTGGTAGCACTTGTGTTGTGAATCTTAAAGATTCAGAATCAGGAAATGGGATGAAACAATTTCACTCTTTTTATATTTGTTTTGATGCTATGAAAAAGGGTTTTAAACAAGGATGCAGAAGATGTATAGGGCTAGATGGGTGTTTTCTAAAGGGAATTTGCGGGGGACAACTTTTGGTAGCAGTTGCTAAAGATGCAAACAACCAAATGTATCCAATAGCATGGGCAGTCATTGATACTGAAAGCAAGTTGACATGGAAATGGTTCATGACCATTCTGAAAGATGATCTTAATCTAGAAAATTGTTCCCACCTAACTATCATTAGTGATATGCAAAAGGTAATTGAATATCTTTCTTTTGTTTATGTTTCATGTAATTGCTAATTTAATTTGACTAAAATTTAACATGCTTTTTTTGCTTTGCAACTACAGGGACTAATAGCTGCTGTAGATGAACTATTTCAAGAATGTGAGCACATAATGTGTTCTAGACATATATTAGCAAATTGGTCACAAAACTTCAGAGGCTTAGAGAGAAGAAAGAAATTTTGGGCTTGTGCTAGATCAACATTTGAGGCACAATTTAAGTACAATATAAATGCCCTGTCCAAGCTGGGAATAGGTATTGTTGAATCTCTTATCAAATACAACAAGGAGACATGGTGTAAAGCTTTTATTCAAACATTTTCAAAGTGTGATAGCATAGATAACAACATGGCAGAGAGTTTCAATTCTTGGATCTTGGGACCTAGGAACAAGACCATTGTAACTATGTTGGAAGAAATTAGAGTTAAGATAATGAGTAGAGTGAGTAAGTCAAGAGCATTTGCTGAAACATGGACAGATGGAATATCTCCAATGGCAATGATGGTATTCAATACAAATGTAACAAGATCAATGCAGTGCAACATTGAATGGAATGGTGATGTTGGATTTGAAGTGTTAGAAGGGGTATACAAGCATACTGTGAACTTGGGTCAACAAAAATGTAGTTGCAGATCATGGGAATTAAAAGGCATCCCATGTGCACATGGTATAGCAGCAATGAACCACTTGAACATGGATGCATCACAAGCAATATCTAGTTGGTATAGAAAAGACACATATATGAAGACATATTCTCATTTTATTCAACCAGTCCCAAACATGGAAATGTGGCCTGAAAGTAGAAACCCAATGGTTGAACCACCTGAGGCAAGACAAATGCCTGGTAGGCCACCAAAGAATAGAAGAACAAAAATTGGTGAAGTGAGAAAAGCTGGAAAGTTGCCAAGAATGGGGACAGTAATGACATGTTCACTTTGCAAAGGACCAAATCATAACAAGAGAAATTGTCCAAAAAATCCTAAAACTAAGTCTACACCAACACCCACTCAAGAGGTACATTCATATTAATTTGCTTTTATAAATTATGTTAGATTACTTATTAAATTTAATGTCTTGTTGTGTTCTTTTTCCAATCATATTAGTCCACCACTGGAAAAAAGAGGGGTAGAGGTCATTATGAAAGAACAAGCACCAGTAAGACTGGTACAAGAAGAGGTGCAGGAAGTGGTTACAAGAAGAGGCCTAAAGTTGTTGGACAAGGTGTATTTGTTGCTGATACTGGATATACGTGTATTAATGTAAGTGTCTTATAAACTGTCAAAATTATATTTGTTTTCTAAATGTGAATCCCAAAATAACTATGTAGTTGATATTGCAGCAAGGATTGTCTAGCAGAAGGAGGGTTAATACTGGTGTGGTGAGTTCTGCACATGTGACAGGTGATATTGGTTTTAAACCTACCAAGGGACTGAAGTGGAAAGGCAAACAGGCCATGACTCAAAGACAACTTCAAGTCGAAAGTGTTGTGTGTCGTATTCAAACCAGATCAAAAGCTGATGGCATTCAAACAAGGTCACAAGCCAAAGGAAAATCACTCTCAAAGAAAACTTATTAGTTGTGTGGTTGTGGTGTCCAACCAAACTTGAAATAGTGTTTTATGTGGTTTTATGTGTTGATGAATCTATGGTTGTTCAAACAAACATAAAGTAATTACTGTTTTATGTTTTGCTAGTTAACTTAAGTTATTGTGGGTCTTGGTTGGTGCTTGTGTTGTTATTCAACTAACCTTAAAGTAGTGATTGTTTTATGTTTTGCTAGTTAACTTAAGTTATTGTGGTTGTTGGTTGAAACAATGAAACACTATGATGCTTCTTTTTTATGATCAAGAAAGCACTAGTTATGTTATGTTTGTTGCCTTAATGTTATTATTTCATGGTATCATAGTACCCATTACATGTAATTGTATTGATCAGCAAAAACAGCAAAAACATACATTAATAGAATACCAAACCAAACTAATCCACAAAATGAGTACCCTAGATCTGTTGAACAAGGAACACCAAACCAAACTAATAACAATTGCATTAAAAAAATCAACGACACACTAAATAAAAGAACAATATCACATTGCATATCAAACTAATACCCAAAATCAGTTTCAATATCCATTTGCACTTGAGTTGTTCTTCTTATTTGTTGGTTTTCTTGAACAAACCCAAAATTACAATATTCGCTTGGGTCGGAAATTCAGGATCATACCAATCGAAAAACTTACAAGAATTTCAAAATGAGGACTGCATTCATAAAATCAAAGTTAAAAAAATGAAATTGCATGATACGAACTTGTCAAATAAAAAGCAAAGAAGGAGTAACAATACATACCCCATAGTGTCTACAACCGAAAAATCTACGTCCGGAATTGTCATTTGTGCATGAAATTTTCAGAATTGGAGGAGCCCCACATAAACAAACAAGTCTCCTGCTATTGTTCATCAATTTAGCAATAACAATTAAAACAAAAAAAGTGAGAAAAATCTGAAATTTGAAAAGGGAGAAGGGATGAAGAAGAATAAATAGGTAGAGAATAGAGAGAGAGAAAATTTTAAAATAACCCAAATATTAAAGAAAAAATTAGATTTTTACTTATATTACCGTTGTAACTTTATGATGTGGCAAAAAATTATTGTCTTACGCGCCGTCTAGAGTTTGATTTCAGTTTCTATGCCAGGTGGACGGAAAAGGTGTACGTGTAGGATAAATAAGCAAGTTCAAGGGGGTAACTAAAAAAAATTTTAGGTGTACATTGTATAAAAAGCTTCAATCCTCCAGAAATCATGGTCATTTTTTAACTTTAACACTTCCCACTTAGTTTAAATACATTATTTTAGGCTTATTAATAATGTTTTGAGTCTTAGTTTGTATAGTCTGGATCTAGACCAAGTCATTAGCTTTCGGCGTGTTACATTATCCCGTCCCCCCTTAGGAAGATTCGTCCTCGAATTACACTAAAATCTTTTTTGTGGAGAAAGGATGAATCAAAACTAGTAGCCCAACCAACAACAATATAAACAACATAAAACCATTATGAGTTACATCCCATATGGGTAAATTACAACTCATATCAACACATAACCATGACATTTCACTTCGCAACTCAAAACTCAAGTTACCACATAGAGGATCTCAATTTAACAACATAAGGGACTACCTTCTAATTGTCAACCTGAACTCAATTATAACATCAAGAGTTACATCTATCAGACGTGGCGTATGCGCATCAACTGGGCAACATTGGTCGTGGCCTGCATGAGAAGAAATGTCGGCCAATGACATTCTGCATCAACCAAGGTCATAAGACATTTGACGTTGTTTTTGCACATTTGGATAGAAACATCGGACAACGACATGCATCATCACCCAAGGATATGCATTCATAACCCATGACATGTATGGATCTGTCACATCCGCGGAGCACCCCCTAGAATTTAAATGGTGTACTTGACCTCTCGGAGGTCTTATACGAGCCCATAAGTATCATTCATCGCATTGTCATAGGTAAATCTAGCGGAAAATTTAAAACTTTCTTAGCACATCATATGCTAGACCATTAATTCATATATATATATATATATATATATATATATATGCATATTTAAAGATCTAGTCTATTTTTCCATCCTAGACTAAATAATAGTTATGAAATAGTCATTTGTGGAGGAACATGTACTGTCTACAATAAGACTACTGTTACTTCGCCATATTATTTGTGAGTATTTACGCATTCATTCATGTAAATATACATCTAGAACATGTCATATATGTCAAATATTAAACGTGGTGTTGAAATTATTTAAGGTGATCAAGGCCTTCTTGTATAAACTCGTACATCATATTGTATACATTCCTTTACATTCTCCCTAGCCAGTCTTTTTCGAGCCTATTTCTTTGACAACCATATATATACCCTAATTCTCTTTTATTGATTAGCCTTACATTTGATTTAAAAGTCATTTATGAATCTTGAGTTAAAAGACTTAGATATGTAGAAACTTGCTTCAAGGCGCATTAAACATGCTCAATACCATTTCATGAAAACATTAATGCACAAAATCACAAATAAGTGCAAGTTAAGCAAATAAGCATATTTACACGCTAACCCATCCTAGAATGAACCTTTATCATAATTATGCATATATTAGTAAATCAGGTCAAATCAACATTATTAATTAGTTCATTTTAAGAGGATTACTACCTCAACTTTGTCATGAATTTTGAGGAAAGAGATGAGGATAGCGGGACTTCATGTCGGCCTCAGCCTACCATGTTGCTCGCTCAACTTGGTATTTCCACCATAGGACTTTTACGGAGACCAACTCCTTGTTCCTTAACATATTGACTTGGTGATCTAGAATGTTCACCGGAACCCATAGAAATGGTTCTCATCTAGACTTAACCCTTCAATAGGGAGAATTGATACGGGATCACCAATACACTTCTTAATCATGGGAACATGAAATATGGGGTAAACAGTGGCTAGTTCACCATTGTAACTCCATCTCATAAACCACCTTCTCAAACCGTTTCACTATCTCATAATGACCCACATACCAGGGATGAAGCTTCCTTTTTTAAAAAATCTCATCACGCCTTTCGTGGGTGAAATTTTTAAACACACATGGTTCCTCACTTAAAATTCAAGATCTCCTCTTCTATAATCGGCATAAGATTTTTACCGACTATAGGTCGTTTTCAACCTATCTCTTGTCATCTGAACCTTCTCTAAGGTCTCTTATATCATCTCTGGATGAAAGAGTGAAGACTCCCCTACCTCAAACAACCCAACCAGAGTCCGACACCTCCTACCATATAGTGCTCCAAAATGGGCAATGGAAATACTTGAATGGTAACTATTACTATAATATAACTCAATCAACATTAGGTGATCATCCCAACTTCCCTTGAAACCATAACACAAGCTCTTAGAATATCCTCTAGGGTTTGAATGGTACTCTCCACTTGACCATCCTTTTAAGGATGAAAAGCGGTGCTAAGTTACACTTGATTACCTAACCCTTTTTGAAAAGACCTCCAAAAACTAGAGGTTAATTGGGAACCTCTATCCAAAATGATGAACAAAAAAATACATGCAAACTCACAATCTCGTCAAGGTACAACCTTTCATACTCTTCCGCCGAATACATAAACTTAATGGAAATAAAGTGAGCAGATTTCGTCAACATATAAACAATAACCAATATTGAGTCATTTTTCCTACATGTACTACTCAAACCTACTATGAAGTCCATATTAATTTATTTCCACTATCAAGTATGAAAATATATTACTTGAGTCAAACCACTAGTCTTTTGATGCTCGATCTATAGTTGTTGACAGTTTGGGAACCTAGCCACAAATTCCATATGTCCCTTTTAAAACCTTTCCACCAGTGGACTTTATGATGATCACTATACATTTTGGAGGCACTCAGATGAATAGAATATCGGAACCCATGAGCTTCTTCTAAATTTTACCTCTTAAGTTATTGACATCTGGTACAAATAATCTACCTTGGAACCTAAGTACACCATCACCCTTTTGGAGAATGACTCATTAAACTTGCTAAGGATAACCCGTTCAACTCCATAAATAGAGGATCAAGATACTTCTTAGACTTCACCTATGCAACTAAAGATGATTCGGAGTTATGGTGGACCACAAAACCACCATTTGTGAATCTTCCAACTGAACACCCAACCATGCCAACCTATGAAAATCTTTCACTAGGTCTTTATTACCCCCTTCAACATGAGACACACTTTCTATGTTCATAAGAGCTAAAGCATCTGCAACCACATTGGCCTTACTGGGATGGTAGAGAACACTCATTTTGTAATCCTCAAGAGTTTCAACCATCTTCTTTGTCGAAGATTCAACTCTTTTCGGTGAACACATATTGAAGGTTTTTGTGGTCGGTATATACATCCACATGAACACCATACAGATAATGTCTCCATATTTTAAAGGCAAACACTACAATTGCTAATTAGAGATCATGAGTTGAATAATTCTTACCGGGTACCTTTAGTTGTCTAGAGGCATAGACTACTAACTTCCCAGGTTGCATAAGGACACAACAAAAATCCACTCAAGAAGCGTCAATATATACCATAAAATCCTTAGTACCCTCCGGTAAGGTCAACACCGAAGTAGAGGTAAGCCTATCTTTTAATATTTGGAAGTTTCTTTCACATGCCTTTGTACACTCAAATTTAACACTCTTTTGGGTCAAGGTAGTAAAAGGAGAAGCAATGGTCGCAAACCCATCCATAAACCTCCTATAATACCCGGATAAACCCAAGAAACTTCTAATTTCTGTTGGAGTCAAAGGTCTAGGCCAATTCTTAATTGCGTTCATCTTTCTTAGATCGACTTATATACCCTTACTTGAGATAATATAACCTAGCAACGCAACCGACCTTAACCAAAACTCACACTTGCTACGATTCATAAATAGTTTGTTTTCCATAAAGACTTATAATACTACCCCCAAATGATCCAAATCTTCACTTTTGGAGTATACCAAAATATCATCAATAAAGACAATCACAAATGAGT